TTCTCATGTTTAACTTTGTGTAGTTCTGTCATTACCTCAAGCACACAGCTTTGTTGTGTATTTTTACCTGACACTTTCAAACATTAAACGTATTACCCACTTTTGTTCTGTATCCATATAGCTCAGTGTTTTCGATACAAATGAATTTTCAAATTACATCAAAACTCACAAATCACATTAAAATATTTGGTTGTATCATATACATGTAACATACAGAATTGTCTTTAAGTCAGGCTCTGTCAGATGAAATCGTTCTTTGTATATTTAACAATTGTTTCTGGAATGGTAACTTATACTTGTTATATTTTGCACTGCATTACACCATGAAAATATAAGTTCCTGTTGAATGTCTCTCCGGCATAAAATTAAGTTCTGATGTGTTATTCATTTGAAATTCTAGCTTTATAGGATCCTGTTTATCTGCTCTCATTTTAAATTTGTATTTATTGTTAAATGAAACATCCATTACATGAAGTTATTGTTAAACTTGTCAGCATTTACTGAATACACAACTAGTGATGTGACAAGGGAATTATTCCACTTATTATGTACCGATACTTAATGATTTCTTGAAATTGAAAAACAAAACAGGTTGGGAAACTTCACTTAACTGCAGTTCCTAAAGAGAACCCACCAAATATAATTCTCATCCATATTAGACACAACAATCATCTGACGTTCCTTAATATTAGCAATTTGGTGATGTCTCAGGAAAAACATCTCGCATAAAACACTGGGTCATGCAGGTATTTTGCTACCTGGCCAAGCCAAGCATGTATTTTATGAATCACAAAGTTGGTATGTTTAAAAAAAGTTTTAACATAAATAAGCCATGTTGTGGTATACGTACACATCTCACAAGCAGTTGTACACAGTTTCCTTATACATGTATGGCGATTTGTGCAACTATAGCATGAGGTGAAGTGATGAGGGAATGGAGAGGGACATCAGTGGATGCATCAGCCTCCACTTGAGCTGGTCTTAAATAAATGTGCAAGACTGGACAAGTGCATAATTATGAGCCCAGAGTAGGACCAAGAGATGGCACAATTTTCCTAGCAATACAGGCTCCTCTGGTCGGAACTGCACTTCGCTGGTTCATAAACGACTATGAAATGAATGCATTATGGTGGCATGGCAAACAACACAATGAGCACTCCTGACCAATATCGCTCTTTTCAACCAATGAGGGGGTGCTTCTGCTCAGGGCAGATTGCCACTCATGAATACCTTCTCAGCTAGAGAGTCAAAAGAGTTCATAATTCAACAATTATGCTTCCATTTTGTCATCCCCGCCAAGCCATGTTATTGTGATGAAATGGCTTTTACACGTCCAGATTTTAGTTGGCATTGTTATCTTTGTACAGGCACAGAGAATGCGCGAGACCACTGTATTGGTACCTGGGACATGACCATTAATCTGTGCATAATTCCCAATGTAAATGTACATGTTTAAGAGAGTGCGAGACTGGTGCAAGTTTAGATTGTGACATACCGCACGCAGTAGAGTCGGTCTGCAGGCCTGGTTCGGTGAGTGAACAGCACTGTGTGTGACCGCTCTTTTTGTTTGCATTACCGCTGCGAGTCAGCGAGCAATTCAGTGATTGGTTCCGCAATCTAAGCAGTCAGTTATCAGAGAAAACGTGTTTTCCTTAGAGGTGCTCTTTAAGTAACTGTAATGTATACGCAGTTGTTGACTTACTGTGTACTGTTCTTAGTATCAGTTAGAAAGGACTGTAGGTAGAACAATACTGTGTGGGTACTGAGTTGTGGGCAGAGCTGTTGAGGGTTATCCCAAGGTCACCCAGCTAGGAAGGTTGTGAAAGACTGGACAGGTAGAGGGTTGGCAGATGCTGCGGATTAGCCATTAGTTTGGTTTAGTTCATTAGCACCAGCAATCCATCACTATCTTGGGTGCAGTCACCCGAGTGAGGAGTGCGGGTTGCAGACTGCAGATTATTGGCAGCACTTCACAGATTGTGGATATTTTTCTTTTGTAACTCTTGTGTAAAATAAGTAAATTTCGATTGTGTAAATGTAGTGATTATATAAGCAAGAGAAAAGTATGTTAAATAAGTTCGTTGATCTTACCATAATTCCTTGTGTCCACACATTCTCATTATTGTGTAAGTCGACTGGGTCACCGAATCAATTACCAATTGATGGTATATTTCTGCCCAAATGACCCCAAATCCCTAGACCTTAGATTGCTCCTCAAACTCAAGGGCCAAGGCAGATCCATGTAGTTTAGGTCAGGTGACTTTCCCCAAAGTTGGAAATAGTTCTCCAAGACTGGCAAGACCAAGGCTGGCTCATGGGAATAAAATGCCACATTATGGTATATTCCTCCCAAGAGCCAGAACTTTATTAAGCATTCAAGAATGTTCATGTTATAGGTTCTTGAACAATAGATATGGCTAAAATGTAAAAGGTATTTATCCATTGCAGATAAAATGTTTTCAGGACAATTTTTTTTGTCTTTCAATAGTTACATCCATCAAGTAACCAGTAGTTGTTACAACATTGTTAATTTCACTTCCCAAAACAATGACTGCTGTGTCACATGTGCCAAGTGCACTGCTTTAGAATTAGTCATTACTGGAGTTGGAGAGGTGAAGAATGTAGTTTTAATAGAAGAGATAAACCATAATCACCGTGGTAGATGACGAATACAGAAAAAGATGATCGATGACTCGTGATGTCGTGTTGCTGGTAGCGATGTTTCGTCTGCTGGTGCTGCTAGCCATCATTTCATTTAATGGACGTTTACAACCACAAATATTACTCTCTGGTGGCCACTCTAGCCTGATAGACAAAATCTATTGACGCCGAGTATTTTAGCCAGCCCTGCAGCCTTGTAAAAAGAGCCTAGATTGTGCGGTGTTATGTAAGAATCTTTTGTTCCCGAAACCGGCACAATGCACTGCTGACCTCTTTTCAATAGGGGCCAGATTAGCGTGCAGCTGTGCTGTGTGGCTCATTGCTGTGGTGGTGGAGTGCTTTTGTACCCAGTGGTAATCTTCTCGCTCTAAATGCCTCAAACCGTGGTATACCATTTCAAAACAAGGCTGGATTACCTCCACTATTGAGAGTGAAAAAATGTTGGTAATGCCAAGCAGCTCGGTCTCTTGTGCTGAGCACGGTCTTTTGTTACAAGGCCCAGCTCTTTTGTCCTGGTTTCGGGGTGCCCGGCTTCGTGTATAAAGCTTATGTGCTCGAAAACGGGTCCCCCGGCAGTAAGTGGTTGAAAAGACAAACAACTCTTAGAGAAAAAAAGCTGAAAATATTTTGAAAAAGGCCTCCACATCCCTTGAATCTGCCAGTGTCTGAATTTGAAAACTGAAGACCAAATACAAGGTCACTGCAACAAACTTAAGCTGTGGAATAGCCAGCCATCTCTAAATCCAATCGTCTCCGATGGAAACACCTACTGAACCATGCAATAGAGCACAAGAGTGTTTTTTACAATGAGAAAATTAAAGCAAGCCATATTAATTGAATGGGGCCAAGGACCAGGCATTTCACTACGTCAACTCAAAAGGACCAGGCTTCTTTAACCCTAACCCTCCTCAATCCTCCAACAGGTGAAGGATTGAGGAGGGTTAGGGTTAAAGTACTACAATCAATGCACCCTTGAACCCTCTCCAGAGTGACCAGCATGTGGGTTCCACGACTCAAGTTCATCTTCAAGGTCAGGCTGCACCAACAGTGTGTGTGATACAAGGCCATTTCTTTCACAATGCTAAGCCTGATCGGTTTTTGTCTATGGCTCTCAAATCATCCATCACCGGGCCTGCACGGTGCACAGAAGCCCTGCCAACAGCTTCCATCAATCTCATCGAAGTGAAGCTCCTCAGCTGAATGGATTCTTCGCTGTCTTTCTGAGCTCCACGTGCGCAGTACAGCAACTTTGTCCATCCCTTTACAGAAGTGTTTCATTATTGTTTTGCAACTGTTTCCAAAAAGGTTCACTTTAAGAACAGAACGTAAAACCCCATCAAGACACAGGATGCAGCTACAGCAAGATGTAACCTTGTTCCAATGATGGAAGCTGCAAAGGACGAAATGAAAGAAAACATTATTTCAAAATGAAACACAAATACACACTGGTGTAACCTTCTGAAAGATGAACAGTTAGTGCATTCTCCCTGAAGTAGGCCAATTTTTCTGAGTCATTATCCGTGAAAGTAAAGAAATGGAATTTTCATTAATCTCAAAGCATTTGAACAAGCCAGTGAAACCAAGTGACTTCACTTTATACTGTAAGTATGGAATCCTACCATCACATGGCCAACAAAGATGAACCAATTTAGCAGTCCAGTGACTATGACAAGACTTGTTGAAGGAATCAATAGAAATGGATACTTGGCACCACTTCAAGGACAAACAATAACAGTAAACATATTCT